TGGAAAAGCTTCATAAGTACGTCGGTATGCAAATGCGCTTTGTGACACAAGTGACGGTACGCATTTCAGATTGTTGCCGCGCATGCGTACCAGTTATGTGCACCCCTGTACTACAGCAAAAGTATTCTCCGTCGGGACTTCCTGCAACAACACCACGCCGTTATCTTGATTCTGATTGGCCAGAAGACATTATCAAAGATGTTCTATTGAGAAGACGATCACTACGTGACAAAAGTTTTCAAAACCGTTTTCTGGTCTTCGGTATTTCCAGACAAGTGGCTACAGAAATCAATCTTGGCGGACTTTATTTTGCTTACTTTAACATCATTTTTCATGGTGGGGCTAAGTCATTTCTTGGTATGGCTGTAGCCTACCCCAGCCATACCCTGGCGCTGCCACTGGTGGGGTGTATGGGGCGGGCCAGTCTGCTCATGCGTTAAATATTTTAACGCAATTAATTCAAAAAATTAATTACCGCCGTTAACGCGAAAATTTTAACAGCATTAATTTAAACGTTTGTTTCTACATATGTGTAACAGACAAAGAAACGGACATTTACAAAAAGGAGGATGTTTGGAAATTGTCCGTCACACATGAACATGACACTGGACACAGTTTTGTTACAGCACCCTCTTTTCAATCAATTAAAGCATCTGCAGTTTCTTTCTCTGAGCTGTGTCACATATCTCTTTAGCAACAGATCCTAACGAAACAATCAAAGGCTGATTCTTTTTTTATCTTTTTGTCAATTTCTTCTCTAAAAACAATCAAATCGTTGGAGATATTAGGCAAAAGCTACATCCTCTGAAGGTCTGTGCTGTACCACTAATCACCAGCTAGTGTCAGTAAAGCACCAAGAAATACATGTATGCCAGTGTTCCAGCAGAGTGTGTGACTGACAAACAGAATAGTTGATCTAAAGCCGTACTTTGTCTCCAGATGTAGCTCAGCACTAAAGTTGAGTGTATTTTTTGACTCTTTTCCGTGTGTGTGTGCAGATGGTGTACCACAGCCTGCAGCTGCTGGCCTTCGCCGTCCTGGCCGTCCTCATCATGCGTCTGAAGCTCTTCCTCACGCCACACATGTGCATCATGGCCTCGCTCATCTGCTCCAAACAGGTCTGTCTCCAACCCCAGTCAAGGGTGTTGTTTAAACCAAAACCATGTGCTCTATTTAAAAAGTATGTTTTCATCTTGGTGTAGTCATTACCTCTTCATCTGATTAAATAGCCAGTACGTACGGTGCATTTTAATAAGGGTTTGTTAGGAACACATTTAGTCTTTCAGTTATGTTTTTTCTCTTGTTGTCTCTCTTTATAGAGATTATATAAAGAAAATATAGGTATAACGGTTGCTTTTGTTCTGTAGCAGAGGCTAGGATGACCTTTTAATACATCATGTTGTATAGATCTGTAATGAAAATTGAATTACAGGTCATATTATTGATAATATCAGCAAAAAAAGTTATTTTTAAAAAAAAAAAAAAATGTAATTTCTCACTCAATAACTTGGGTACTTGGGCGTATATATATATAAAAACATGTATAAAAAAGTATTACGGTTGCTTTCTGTTCGGCAAAGAGGATTAGATGTGCTTTAAAGGGGACCTATAATGCAAAATGCACTTTTTGATGTCTTTTATACATAATGTGTCCCCTGTGTGTCTTTGTTTGTAGATATCTACTAAAGTACAGCATACAAATACAGAGAGTAATGTAGGCCTGTTATACTGAGTAATATATATTTTACACACTGCTCTGCTTTCTGCACGGACCTCACAGCTGTTCTCACTGTAAACATCGCATTGCGATTCAAGCAGTTACTAAAATAATATCCCGGGGATGCATGCAGAGCTGTCATTGGCTGAGATGAGTCCGGCCGTGCGTTACGTAAGGACGCATCAGTGTATCTTCGATCATAGCTCCTCCAGGGAGCCTCCTCGATGCTCGGTCCTCGAAGTGCATTTAGAGAAATTAGATGTCCTTCAACATGGCGCGCTGAAATTCATCTCCGGGTCACTACCGGAGGACCGAGGAGTCGAGGAGTCGAGGAGGGAAAATATAAGAATTGAGAAGAATAGTATCTGCCAGGTCCCGTATGAGCCAGTATAAGCTCCGCCCCCTCTTATTTTTTATTTTTTTCAGTAAAAAAAAAAAAGAAGCTTTATTTTATTTTTTTAACCTTTATTTCTACAGGTGAAAATCTAATTGAGATACAGGGTCTCATTCTCAAGTGAGACCTGTTTATACCCAGAATCAGCACTTTTGTAACAGGAAGTGAAATAGAGGGATATGAGGCATGGCTCGAATGGGTGATCTGTTTGGTTTTTTGACCAACACACTTCATAGACATGTTTTTTGTATTTTTTTATATATCTGAGACCTATGCTATTGCCTAAAAATAGCATGATAGGTGACCTTTAATATATATATTTGTATAGATAAAGAAAGTCTGCAATAATATGAAATATTATCAACAGTTGTTGTTGTTTTTTAATCTCTTGCTCTTTTGCTCTCTATTAGTTTCCCTCTATAGTTGCTTTTAGTTCTGCAGCAGAGGATAAGATTAACTTTCAATATGTCTTTTTGTTTAGATAAATGTGACTGAGATTTTTATTTTAAATGTGGTCTGTTATGAATTGAATTAAGGGTCATATGATTGACACTATGAACATTTATTTTAAATACTTTCTCCATGTCTCTTTGTTGTGCCAGTTGTTTGGCTGGGTCGGGGACAGGTTTAAACACCATGTGGCGGTGTTTGCGGTCATGGCCATCATGGCGGTGCAGGGCGTGGCCAACATGCAGGCGCAGTGGGCGATCATCGGAGAGTTCAGCAACATGCCTCAGGAAGAGCTGCTGGACTGGATCCAGGAAAACACCCCGTCTGGTGAGCGAAGGATCAATAAACCTTAGGAACGGGCACTTCTATAATTGTATCAATTTATATTTAACACTTATTATTAACTATTTAATTATTAAGCAATGGAGTTTGTTGGCAACTTCCATGGTTGTAATATGTGTGTTTTAATGCCCATAAAATAATAAAATGAGAGTTAAAAAGCAGAACATTTGAAAGAATAAATCGGGATATCAAACAAATGTGACAATGTGCTTGGGATATTTTACGTTACACATAAAGTATGTGACTTCAAACGTCCACTGAAGCTTCTGCTACGCCGATGAGATGATTAAATGGTAGAATATAAAGAAATTCACCTCACTGCTCCACATAGATCTGATTGCGTTGTTTTTCACTGTTTAGACTGGTGCTCTTTGAATTGCTTCATCATCTCTTCTGAAATGTTTTAATGTTTTTTTTCAAAATGGAGAATTTGCGCCACCTGCTGCTTAACTCGATAAACAAAAATGTAATTCATTTTATTGTCTGTTCACTAGAGATACCATTTGAACGTACACCCGTCAGCCAATTAGAAATAAGTATTTTCCATGGCTTACGTTATTAAACCGTACAAAGTAGAGAAATATAAAAAAGGAAGAAGTGGTGGTGTAGAAACTCAACAGCATTGTCTTGTTTTTGTGTGTGACTGATGCAGATTCTGTGTTTGCCGGAGCCATGCCCACCATGGCCAGCGTGAAGCTCTCCACAGGGCGGCCCATCGTCAACCACCCCCACTACGAAGACACTGGTCTGAGGTCAGTAAAACTCACAGCAGCCCAACTGCTGAATCGGCCTCAGTAAATTCTAAAAGTGTAATCCAATATGGCCCACAAATGAAACCTGTGTCTTTTAATGTACTTCTTAAATATAAATGTAAAAATATATTACACAGCAGTATTCATGTGTCAATAAGCCCATTGTTCTAATAAATTCAGTCAATTAAAGTTGGAAACATTTTCTAACATATCTTAGTTGATTAAAAAAAGGCCCAATGACTTATTTACCTAACAATCTTGAAATACACCCTTCATATGTCCCCTTATTCTAAGCAAACTGAGGGATGAGCTGCCAACAGAATAAATGAAACCCTAAGGCAGGGGTGTGGAACCTTTTTCCTCTCACGGACCATTTCAATTTTTTCAACATCCTCCGAGGGCCGTACAAATAATTGACCTCTTCTTAAAAATACTAAAATCACAGCCCGTTCATTTCGCCTTTCTTTCATGCTGCGCAAAGAAAAAGCAACCTCTTAATCCAGATATCTCACCATGACTCGCGCATGCATGCACGTGCACGGTTGTGGCATGACCACCAAAACAGAAAGATATGGACACAAGATGTGAGCAAATGTATTTAGTTTCCTATCCATGTGGACATGATTTAAGTGGGGGGGACGTAACCTCCTCTAGGGGGGTTCTCACCTCCTCCAGGGAGGTCTGGGGGCATGCTCCCCTGGGAAGATTTGTTTTAAATATTGAAGTTAAAAGCATCAATCTGGTGCACTTTGAGAGCAAAATGAAGAGATCTATATGAAACAGAACAGTAAGCAGATTTTATTTTTCTTTATGGATATTTTACAAATCACTCCTCTTTCAAACTGTATTCTTGTTTATTAAAAACAACTTTTTGTTACTGTAATATAGTATTTTATACCTGTTTACTTTATTCTCTTATTTTTTTTATAACTATAGACTAATGATCATATAAAGATGTGCCTTTACCTCGCTGGTTGTAGAAAAAGCTTCTTATATTCGTTAGCATAGCTAGCTAACCAGATGCTAATAACAACAAAGTTATTGACTGTATGATCAGTATGACAGATGAACAGATCGCCACTGGGCTTTCAACTAAAGACAC